ATTTTTCTATTCTCAGTATTTTTTTAATAATTTCATTGCTGAATTTTCATAAAGATTTATTTGTGTTTGTGGCCCTTACTCTGAACTAAAATTGTGAAAAGAAATTTAAATATTATGGAATTCTAAATCCTACAAGTATCTTGTTTCATTTCAGCCATGCTATGTCACCGCGGGCTGTTCCATTTGTGAAGGCGCCTTCGAATACAGCTCAGACATGAAGGCTTCATTTTGCCCAACCTCAGACCGAACAGTCAACATAGAAACAAAGTGTAAACGAGCAGGCAATTCCTTCTGATATCAGCCGCAAGATGAATGCTGCATTTAGAATGAAACAGCCGGCGATGACGAACAGCCTACCAAGAAGACATGGATGTATGAGCATGTCTGATGACTGTACTTGATGCAGAATCTTTTATTACCATATGTACAAAGAGCTTACTGAAAGATGACATCAAGTAGCCGGTGTTCACCTTCCTGGTTTCACTGAAATTCGGCTCGACTTCATTTCCCTTCGCATCAAACTTTCTTCGGTGAACACGGCTGGGTTTAATGTACAGAACATAATAGCGATCCTGCCGTGAGCAGAGAAAAAGTATGTCATGACCACACTGACTGCAGTACAACTTATTGCAAGTACATCAGTAACTGGCTAAATAAATATATTTTGGAAACAATATGGCAAGAATATACTGGCATAGCCACAATACTGAAGTACATTAGAAAATGCTGCCTGAAAACACATCGAAGTAAATTTGGTTTGGTATTCAATACTCACTGGATATTCGCGGAATAACCTGCTTGAAACACCTGAAAAACATTGACCTGCCGATTCAAATCTTCATAAATCAATATTTCATATATTGTGAAACATTGGTCAGTTATGCACATTTCTTTGGAAAAACTTTGTGAAAAACACTTTTAGCTGCTGTAGTGCTTTCTTATGACAGCCAGCCCTGCTAAAGCAACTTAAGCAGAGTGATAAACCCAATGTTACATCAAAAACTACCAAAGTTGGACTTGTTAAACCTGGACTATATCAGTACTGGGAGTGTAACGATGGATTAAAGAAGATTGTAAAGTTGATTAAATACTTAGTTTCTCTGTGAAAACAGAAAAGGGCAATTTCATGGATTTTTCTCTGTAATAGCCACATAAAATCAGGACTAGATTTAAAAAAAAAAAAAAAAAACTTATGAAACATGGGAATATTAACACTGGGAGCCAGATGATGCTTAATGAACAGCAATTAGGTTTGCAAAACTTTTTATTCGTGAAAACTGCACTTTCACTGTTTTTTCCTTGTATGACCACATAAAACCAGGTCTAGATCAAAAAGTATTGAAGGTGGGCATGTATAAACTGGACTATAATAACATTGAGTGCCTCATGACAGTTTAAAAAGCAATTAGGTTTTTGAGAATTTTGATCTTTGCGTGAAAACTGGAAAGGCAATTTCACAGATTTTTCCCTATATGACAACATAAAAATAGGTCAAGATGGAAAACTACTGCTGGTAGACTTATAAAATACGGAAAATATTAACACTGAGAGCCAGATAATAGTTAACAAACTGCAATTAGTTTTGCAAAACTTTGTCTATTTGTGAAAACTGAAAAAGGGCAATTTTACTCATTGTCCCCAGCAGACCCCTCATTAAATCAAGGCAAGATCAAAAACGGCAGAGGGCTCTCCTGTCCTATAAAACCACTCTGAGTGAGTACTTAGGTCAAAGTACTCAAATGTTGTTTCTTAAAAAACAATTGATATGTGTGAATCTAATTCTCAAACTCTAATTTTTTTTTTCTCCTCTCTTGCAGATTCAGTGCATATTGCGCAGTTTTTGGATCCACCAAAAGCGCCCGTCATTGTCAGAAGACGACAGAGACATTTTCTCTCAAAAGGGAGGAAAAAGGGACCATCCCCATAGACAAACCAGAGAGTTGTTCCTCGCTTTTTTTTGTGTCCCAAAATATTACAAGGCTCCCATTCTTCATGTAGTCCAAGTTTTACAAGTATAAGTACAGTAGTTTTTGATCTAGACCTGGTTTTATGTGGTCATACAGGAAAAAAAAAAATCTGTGAAATTGCTTTTTCTGATTTCACAAATAAACAAGAAGTTTCATAAACCTAATTGCTTTTGTAAATTAAGAGTAGCCTTCCCATTCTTAATGTAGTTTGGGGTTTTTAAAGTCTAACTACAGTTGGGGGGGATCAGCGAAATTGCACTTTTTTCCGCTCTCACAAATAAACAAAAAGTTTCACGAACCTAACTGATGTTAACATAGTCCAGATTTCGCAAGTATATCTGCTGTACTTTTAGATCAAGACATGATTTTATGTGGTCGTTACGGGGGAAAATCTGTGTCACTGCCCATTTTTGTTTTCACAAATTAACAAAATGTTTCACAAACCTGACAATCGTTTTCAAATAACCTTTACACTCCCCGTGTTGACATAGTTCAGGTTTTAAAAGGCCAGCGTCGCCAGTTTTTGAGGTAGCCCTGGGGTTTTCACTCTGCTTACGTTACTGTGGTAGGTCCTATTGTCATGAGAAAGCGCCATGGTAGGCTGCAGCAGCTGAAAGCGTTGTTCTTTTTTCCTGTGAAACGTAAATTAATAAGGTCAGATCACTGTTTCACAATTTATAAAATATTGATTTAGGGAGGTCTGATCCGGAAGCTGGACGTTTTTCTGGTCTCAGTTTATTCCGTGAATTACCGGCAAATATCGAATACCAAACCAATTTTCCTTTGGTTGAAAATCCACACATTGTTAAATTTCGGATGATCTGAAACAGGTCTACTTACACTACCTTTTGGTCGGAAACATCAGTAATAATGTGCCGAGACACATCAACCAGCGTGCCCTCCAAAATGACACCAGGACCACTGAATAGATCAGAAGAAAACCAAATGAAAACTTCGACAGCCGCACATTTAGCAAATCACTAAGTATAAGGTCGGTTCTATTGTACATTTTTTGTTACTAACGTGCCGTACTCTGCAACTAGCCAATGCAAGTAAAATGCGTATGATTGCAAATTTTCATCCTCAAATCAGTAGCTGTCTGCATTTTAATAACACTGATTTCCTGGTACGTACTTGGCCAGCGCAGGCAGTATCTCGTGGTGTAATGTTATTACCTCTGGTAGGTGGACGGCTGCCACTTGCTGCTTATTTTTTCATTTACGACGGGTTTATTAAGCAGCGCTGTGTTATGATAAATTCGACTCATTGCTGTTCGTGTGATTCCCTGCTCAACTTCCAACAAACTTTCGGTTCACTTCCGGTGTTACGCCGAATTCCGCCGTCCTTCTGTTAGTCGCGGCAGCGCGCACGTCATTCCAAGTCAATTCGATAAGTGAGGTATAGCGCGTCATTCATTCCAATCCCATTCGAAAAGCGGAGTATGGCACCAAAGTGAAGCATACCTACTAAATAGCTCCATGGACTGTATAAAACAGAATAGCACCAGAAGAGACTTGTAGCTCGTCTTTATTCCCAATTCCACTCAAAAAGTTGAGTATAACGCCAAAAGGGTAACATCAATCATTCCAGTTCCATTTCAAAAGAGATTCGCCCCGCAGCGGGGTGAGTTGAGGGAAATACATCCGCTATCTGCCCCGCAGTGGGGCCGATAAGAAAAGCAGTTCTGCTATTCGCACCACGGCATGGCGGATAACAGAAGCACTTCTCCTATTTGCCCAGCAGCTGGGCCAATAAGAGATTTCATTTTATAATCCTCCCCACTCTGAAGTCTCGCGCGGAAGCGCTGCGGGGGGAACAGCCTCTTCCTAAAGCAAAAAAATAAAACAGTTCATTTATTTTCCATTCAATAAAAAGCAGAATTATTTTTAAAATCAGAAGCACATTTAAATTGAATAAAGGTTTATAGCCACAGAATCATCAAGCCCAATAAATATTTTGACCAATGTCATTAACTGGCATATAAATGATTAAATCAATTTATTTTAAATAACGTTATAGCCAAGATAGGCAAGATGACCAGAACAACAGAACAGTAAATTGGGGTGTCATTATTTACCAATAGAAACTTCCGTAAAGTGATAGATCTCGTGTTCCAGTAAGAGTCAAGCGATAATGTAAAAAGTAGGCATAATAGTGATAATAATAATAATAATTGAGCAAGTAACGTTAGATGACAACATTGACCCATTTATGGAAAGCCGAAGTACGAGGTGCTACTGCGCTGTTATCAATGGACTGCATTTATCAGTTAAAACCTCTTAAGCCCTGAGCCTCTGGTTCGAAAATGGCACGCCCAAAATGAAATGAGTGTATCTTTGCAACTATTTGGTCCATTTGAATATTCTTGGTATCATAATAAAGGTAAAACCATTTGGGATTTCTGCCATGGTCTAAAAATCAGTATATATGTCACTGAGTTAGAGTAAATGAAGATGGAACACAGTATAAATGAAAGCTCTCATTTTGCACCTTTACATTTTACTTCTATCCCTTGTAAACTTATTTAGTTGCAGTCTGAAACCTCTGAAAAATTACAGCACAGAACCTCACCATTATCTGTGCCAAAGTTTATTCTAATCAAGTAAATCACAACAAAATTAGAGAGGAATGTCTAGGTGGCTTCTCCAAATTGGCAATTCAGGTACCTTGTGTGCCAAATCAGATTTCTCCGACATTAAACTGTAAAACTCATCTAATTTCACATATGTCACTACAGGCATACATTCCACCCAAATACAACCAGTTTTAAATTTTTAGAATTTAAATTGTTTTTAAATTTTTGTTTCTGCCAGTCCTATAACCTATACAATTTCCCATTCAAAAACCATAAATACAAAGAAAATGAAGTTTGGCTCCACTGGAGCAGATTTATTTTTTTAAAAAAAAAAGCAAATTAATAAGATTATGAATACAAAAAAGGTTAAAAAAAATGGGGAAAAAAAGTCAAAAGAATAAAAACCCCAGCAATTATTTATACAAGCAAAACAGTACTTTTGTTTTATTATAGCACGCCTGATCAGGAACTTGAACACTGGTCACCTGCGCTGTAGCCCAACACCCTAACCACTAGGCTATACCATTTGAAAGTAATACTGCTCTCAAATTGCCCATATAAAGAATGAGTAAAAAAAACAAGTCACTCACCTTGTTTGTACTGTTGTGCCCTCAGAATTCACGCGTTTCTGTCAGAAAACGACTTTGAAAATGACGGTTGAATATTTAGCGGATAATTATACCGAAAATACCACAAACAAACCTGTTAAGCGTTTATATTGTCACGCTATTTAAGTACATTCGAATGGCCCATGGACTCAGTTTGACGCACTGGCAACGCAAGGCTCTGGCTCAGTCTAGCTTTGTGCGATTAAGGTGCTTTAGAGCTCGTTGGAAACGTCAAAAGCCATAGGATCAAATGGCTACCGCCAAAGTGTTACTGACAGCATCACAAGCCGATCACAGAGAGGAAAATACATTGCAAGCAAGCTGAATGCTGAGAAACTGAGATTTTTGAAGCAATGCTCAAGAAGAAAAACATGCTTTGAGACTCGCAGATCTAGTTTGGTTATAACACGGACACATTGAGCTAACAATAGCAAGTGTGGATTTACCCTCAAACAGTTTTTTTATTACAAAATATCAAAGGTAAGAAATTTCTTTGCTCATCTCTGTAGACTGTAAAGTGTATGTCTGCTGTTCTTCGAGCAAGGTGTCGGTTTAAAATGACAGGGCATACATCGTTGGATTCTGCGGACTTTCCTCTTTCATTTGAGGTATAGTTTTTATGCATAGCACAAATTCAGGAGAAATTCTAGTGATTCAGCGCTGATATGATTTTATCCTATGTTTTGCTGCATGCTTATTTGCTTGCTTGGTGCTTGAATTGTGTTCGGTTGAGGTAAAAATGGTCTACATGAGCTTTTTGCCTAGTTTCTTCGCGAAATGTGGATATGCCGCATGACAATGCTGCGATTTGGAAACATGCTGTATTTACTGTGCGTAACCACTGGCACCCGGTACCAGGGCGTAGGGCTTAAGGGGTTAACTTGAGTTTGGCTCACTTTAATACTCCTCTCAAACGCCTTCCACCATTAAGACAGAAACTGAAGGAGTAGTACAGGCGTTTCAGAGACGCCGTCATCTGAACGCGGTCTTTAATTGAAAGCTGGCACATGCGTCCACTGCATTTGCTGAGTATCCACGGTGATGATCAGCGATTCTGTGATTGATCTCGGGGTCTATTTGAGATAGCCGTGTGCGCGCACTCAGGAGGATCAGCTGCAGCTGGCTTAATTCTGCCGATCATCCTCTACCCACTGTTCGTTTTGCACAATCAATTAAGCCAGCGACGCGCTGTTTGGGATATGGCAATCCTCGCTTTGACGTTGATCCAGGATCTCAGGATCCGACTTTTGTGCAATAGGCTCCTGGTAATGTGGAGACTTTTCAGAGCTTTTGTAATGGTAATTTAAATGAATGATTAAAAACAGGTCATGACCAATCATTATATTTCAAGGGATGGGTTTGAGCTTCCCCTATCGCCAGTTCACCAGCCGCCACTGATACAAAAAACCAGTGAAGTTGGCACGTTGTGTAAATCGTAAATAAAAACAGAATACAATGATTTGCAAATCCTTTTCAACCTATATTCAATTGAATACACTGCAAAGACAAGTTACTTAATGTTCGAACAGGTAAACTTTGTAATTTTTTGCAAATATTAGCTCATTTGGAATTTGATGCCTGCAACATGTTTCAAAAAAAGCTGGCACAAGTGGCAAAAAGACTGAGAGAGTTGAGGAATGCTCATCAAACACTTATTTGGAACATCCCACAGGTGAACGGGCTAATTGGGAACAGGTGGGTGCCATGATTGGGTATAAAAGCAGCTTCCTGAAATGCTCAGTCATTCACAAACAAGGATGGGGCGAGGGTCACCACTTAGTGAACAAATGCGTGAGCTGATTGTCGAACAGTTTAAAAACAACATTCCTCAACGAGCTATTGCAAGAAATTTAGGGATTTCATCATCTACGGTCCGTAATATCGCCAAAAGGTTCAGAGAATCTGGAGAAATCACTGCACGTAAGTTTACAAGGCCGAAAACCAACATTGAATGCCCGTGACCTTCGATCCCTCAGGCGGTACTGCATCAAAAACCGACATCAGTGTGTAAAGGACATCACCACATGGGCTCAGGAACACTTCAGAAAACCACTGTCAGTAACTACAGTTCGTCGCTACATCTGCAAGTGCAAGTTAAAAACTCTACAATGCAAAGCGAAAAGCCATTTATCAACAGCACCCAGAAACGCCGCCCGGCTTCGCTGGGCCCAAGCTCATCTAAGATGGACTGATGCAAAGTGGAAAAAGTGTTCTGTGGTCTGACGAGTCCACATTTCAAATTGTTTTTGGAAACTGTGGACGTCGTGTCCTCCGGACCAAAGAGGAAAAGAACCATCCGGACTGTTATAGGCGCAAAGTTCAAAAGCCAGCATCTGTGATGGTATGAGGGTGTATTAGTGCCCAAGGCATGGGCAACTTACACATATGTGAAGGCACCATTAATGCTGAAAGGTACATACAGGTTTTGGAGCAACATATGTTGCCATCCAAGCAACGTCTTTTTCATGGACGCCCCTGCTTATTTCAGCAAGACAATGCCAAGCCACATTCTGCACGTGTTACAACAGCATGGCTCCGTAGTAAAAGAGTGCGGGTACTAGACTGGCCTGCCTGTAGTCCAGACCTGTCTCCCATTGAAAATGTGTGGCGCATTATGAAGCGTAAAATACGACAACGGAGACCCCGGACTGTTGAACAACTTAAGCTGTACATCAAGCAAGAATGGGAAAGAGTTCCACCTGAAAAGCTTCAAAATTGGTCTCCTCAGTTCCCAAATGTTTACTGAGTGTCGTTAAAAGGAAAGGTGATGTAACACAGTGGTAAAAGGCCCCTGTGCCAACTTTTTTTGCAATGTGTTGCTGCCTTTAAATTCTAAGTTAATGATTATTTGCAAAAAAAAAAAAATAAAAGTTTCTCAGTTTGAACATTAAACATCTTGTCTTTGCAGTGTATTCAATTGAATATAAGTTGAAAAGGATTTGCAAATCATTGTATTCTGTTTTTATCTATGATTTACATAACGTGCCAACTTCACTGGTTTTGGGTTTTGTATATATATATATTTATATATATATATATAGAACAAGTATGAGTTAGTACTATATTACACTTTATATATATAGTTATATAAATATATACAGCGCATGAATTATACCACGGCCTAGCGGCAATTGCTGTGGTTGCCCCCCTGTGTGGCCGTAATGCCCGACCAGAGCCCGACAACTCAAACGGCCAGTGTGGCTTGCCCTGTTTTGAAGTGGCCGTGGTGCCCAAAAATTACCCAGAGTGGCAATTTTCGACACAGCGACTGAGCTGCGCGGCTCCCGTCATCACGCTGCGTTTAGACTCACAAGTCAGTCTCTAGACGCTTCGCTTCTCGAGAGACTGATGACGTTCCCCCAGCTTTTGTTACTAAAACTGGGTGGAGACAATTACAGAGTTTAAAAAAAACCTGCATTGCAGAACCAATCCTAAGTCTTTAGGGCGGTCCTTCATATTGGGGGCGGTGACTTCCTGAAGTCGTGTGCTTGTAAACACTGTTCGACCAGCAACAGGTGTCATGGGCAAGGTAATGGGATGTCTCAGTTGCGCTCACCGTCAAAAACTCCTTCAAAGTGTGCGGATACATGTCGCGTTTAGGGCAAAACATTTTCATCGGCTGTGGAAAGTTTAAACTCTCTGGAATTGGATAAAAACTAGTCAATCAATACATTATTACCGCAGAAGTTTCACGTGGGTGTGAACTATAAGTGTGCGTTACGCAGATGAGCCTTAGTAAATAATTGAGCTATTGGCTATCAACATGAGAACTTACAAGCAACAAGCTATATAAACTAGAAGCGCTATGTCACAATTTCAATGTGCAAGTCTGGCCGCCATCTTGTGACGGGGGTCCATATCACAGAAAGGTGCAGAAAAGTGGATTCATGCCTTCCAGAAATTTTGATTTCCACTGAGTGCCATACAGTCCTAACAAGCGAAAATACCGCAGTACTTTGAATCACTCCCGACTTAAGAGTTAGGCACGTCCGAAAACCCGTTGAAATCAGCAGCCGCTGTCAGTAGACGCGAATAGGTTTAGTTGTTCCTCGTCCATCGTAATGTCAGTGTCCGGGTCTGCACCATGCAGCTTCTATCAAACAAAAAAATAGTCATAGATTTGCCTTGAATCCATACATATCAAGTGCTGGTCGCTCCCAACGGTCACTCACTGATATGTCTGGCCTCAGTCGGTAGACCAGCGTTTGACTTTCAAATATTCGCACAAAATCCATGCAAGATCTGTGATTGGCTCGCAGTCGCAAGGGTGCCCCGCCCCTTTAGACAGACTTGCGGCGGGTCCTGAATGAATTGATTCCAATGGGGAGAAGTGAAGTGAACGTGAGCACAGATTATCACCGATTATTTTGCCCCATTGTCACAGAATTAAATTCTGGATTTATTTTTCACAGGCCACATATCTTCCAAATATTCTGGTGCTGCAATGGCATTTTTAAAACTAACAGATCAGGTGAAAATGAACTTTGTTCGAGATCTGTGTCTCTCTCAGCAGTGGTCACGTAACATCTGGCAATACAGAAATACAGTATGGACTGCGGGAAACCACGAATTAAACTTTCAAACTGAAATAATGCTTGTGTTTATATGTTCGGCGATACTGTTATTGCCATCAATATTTAATTGTTTTTAAAGGGAAAAGGAATATATTTGATCGCTATGATCTTGTACTGGATTGATATCAGATATTAAACAAGCGGGGAAAAGTGGCTAAATAAGCGTTGGCCATCCACGTTAAAAATGCCGAAACGTTGTGCAGCAATAGGTTACAATAATAGGAACAAGCTATCCATCTTCTCTTTTCCGAAGAAAGTAGACAGGCAAGGAATAAATTAGCAACTGTCGTGTTACATACCAGCTTCATAGGCTTAACCTAGCTGATGCAATCATGCCCTTCAA